CCGACGCCGCTGGACGTTCGTCGTCGGCCGTCAGCAGCAGAGAGGAGCGAGAGCAGACGCCGAAGGAGCGCCGTCCGCGCTTTCGTCCGCCGAAAACCCGAACCCGGAAACCTCAGCGGTCCATTCTTCCGTCGACACTTCGGCGGCGGAGTTCCTCGTCGTCAACGATATCAACGACTGCGAGCCTGCCGCCACACATCCACCGCCGTCTTCCGTCGCATCGCCCCCGCCTCGGCCCGCATCGTCCGTCCTGGCGCCACTACCGCTTTCGCTGCTGTCACGTGTGCGCTCGGAGTTTCCCTCGGAACTGGGCTTCAGCAGGGCGCCCATGGCCGGCGCTAGGAACAACGATTGGATGGGAGTGTCATCTTTGCTCTTTTTTTCTCAGCGGCGATAACCGCGTGTTGTTGACTGGCGGCGGGTGACCAAGCATCGTGCCGATGTGCATTATCATGTACATACGATAAGGGCGGCGGGGGGGAGCTTTACTGGGCAGGAGGAGGCGGACCGCGGGTATCGTTGCCCCCAGCAGAGTCACCGATGATCGGCGAAGAGGAGTGGATGTCATTCTGCCGTTGCTGGTGCTGTTCAACCCGGTCATACGCCAGGCTGTCCCCACCGTATGAAGGAGGGTTCGGCGGGTCAGGGTCCGTGCTCTTCGCGGCCCGTCGACGACGTAGGAAGAACCTCAGTCCTGCTACCGCAAGGGCGCAGGCCATAACGCCGACTACCATGTCCACCGTCGAGGCGCCTTCTTCGACCAAATGAGCGACCGACGAGCAGCCACGAGCGTTGATGGAATCGGGATGCCGATAGGGTTCGGCTGGTGGCAGGACAACGACAATTCGTCGTATCACCCCAAAGTATTTCACGGCTAGTCTTTACGATATTATCGCCGATTCACACACGACTGCGTGTACAAAATGTGTGTGTGCAACCGCCCATTTCCCCAAACCAAGTACCTGGTACTTTAGAGGGTCGTGGGAGGGTCATCAGATCGGCAAAATGAGAGGTATTCCCCGAACTAAAAACAACACTTATCCACCATGAAGTTGGACAGCCTCCAGCTCTCACCTGTTGCACAGAAACGTTTACGGCCACGGTCTGACCCTGCCAAAATGTAGGCGAAGCTGAGCGCCCGTATTTTTGTGGACGAAAAAATATTGAAAAATCGAGCGTCAAAATCCTACGGAAGTGCACCGCACAGCAGTCTGCCGAGGGAACCCTCGTTGGATTAGTTTAATACAGTCAGCACTGAATCGCAAGTGAAAAGCAACCGACGGGCAGGAGGCAGAAAAACCGCGCGAGCGAGAGACATTCAACTCTTCATGGGGGATTCATGACGGTTGCTGTCGGCAAAGATAAGCTCGTCGTAACGCCACGGACTCTTCCAAGACGCAACCGTTCTCTTGACGGAATCCGTGAGAGGACGGTGACGGGGGATGGTGCGAGGAAACGAGAACTGAGGCAGATAGTAACTAACACGAGGCAACAGAAGTGCCGAGCAATTTCACCTACTAGAACCAAAAAATAAGGCGCATTTCGGTCGCTAATTGGCGGCGGCACTTCGTAATCGCAGTAGTATTCGGTGGGGGGCACCAACACTGTATACTATCCACGTATTCCTTTCCGTACATGGTCGGGGATAATGCTAGATATTGCCAAAACCGATCGACTCGGTATCAACCACGACTAACCACGAGCGATGAAATTTTCTTCGACATGATTATACAAAACTATCTCAAAAATCAAACTAGTGGAGGAGACAGACAAGCAGCAGAGGTCCGAAAACAGCACTAGGGGAAGCTGAGACCCTTCGTTCACTAGCAGCGGCGATGACTGCTAGCGCCGTGATATGCCGGATAAAATCGTAGCTTTGAGGAGGGCGGCAGGTTTCGGGTGTGGAATGGTGTCACTCTGGACTGTACTCATTTGGGAGTGTTTCGAGCAAAGCCGGGGATTTGCCAATATTCGACGGCGTAGTTCCTGCTGACAATACGGCATGCCCCAATGGGAGATCCGGTATCGAGTCGTTTACCCCCTTGAATTCGAGGTGGGTACCGGGATAGGTTGTGGCGTAGCTTTGAGGAGGGCGGCAGGATTTGGGTGCGGAATAATATCACTCCGGATGGTACCGAAATGGGAACATTCGGAGCACAGCCGGAGAATTGTCAGTATTCGACGCGTGCCTCCTGTTATTGACACACGGCATGCCCCGGTTGAACAGGAGATGCAGCATCAACGTAGAAAGCTTAGTCTACCTTCTGAGCTCGAGCCGGGTACCCGCGTAGGTTGTGGGACAGATTCCGGCGCGGCCGAGCCCAGTGCAGGTGCAGGCACAGGCGCACGCGTGGCCGCCGCCGCGCGATACAAGGTTCGCGGGATATTCAGGATGTGTTTGAGCTTGGCAAGCGAAAGCTTCGCCAGCTACTCATGCGTCACCGTACATACTGCACCCAGCCGGAGGAGCGGGAAAGCCAGGCCAACAGGGAAGGACGACAAACGACCTTTTATGGTGGCATGGATGCGTGCACTCGATCAGTTGGAAACAGAATCACACTTTCGAGAGACATCCTGCTTTGAACGCCGTTTGAAGTGTTGAATGGGTCTGGCGACAAACAGCGGTCGAAAATGTAACCTACAGGATTTCTGCAGGCACATCGGTTCAGTCGCTGTCGCTAAAGCTATAACAACATACTTCCTCTGTATCATAAGTTAGGGTACCTAAATTTGTACGGGCCCTTAACCGTGTCCGATCTGTTTTTCGATTTTATTGTTGAAATCTTCGTAGTTTTTTGAGCAAGAAACATTTATTTTTATTTTTATGCATGCGCCACCCCGCGTGCATGAGCGCCCGAGAAAAAACCAGTCGGCCTGAAAAAGGCCGTATTTTGCATGTATGCTGCCCCCTCCGACCAGGCGACCAGGCGGGGGGGGCGGGGCAATGACAAAAACAAGGCAAAAATACCAAGAATTATCCCTGACCCTAAACCTAGCCTCCCCTCTACTCAACGATCCATGACGCGTCCCCCATACTAAAAGCAGCATAATAGTGGCCCCCACACTGAAAACAAGACACTTGGGGGGACCACACTAAAACCAAGACACTTGCGGGGCAAAGCAAGCAACAGTAGGGCCCTCATCCAACCCCCCCCTCTACTCAACGATCCATGTCGCGCCTCCTATAATAAAAGCAGTATAGTAGTGAGCCACACTAAAACCAAGACACTTGGGGGTCACACACTAAAATCAAGACACGTGGACGGGTACTTCTTTCCGACACCGTAGCGTTCGCAGATCGGGTCAAGCACGCCCTTGGGAATCGTTGACAACCCCGGCTGAATGCCCATCGCAATTTCTACCGCCATGGCATTGCGCCTACCAACCGATAACTCGGTGCCCCTTTTGCGAGGTGGTGTGCTGGGGGGCGATTCCATCGCTACAGAGTGAGTAGTGGGCCGGTAGGGTACTAATATCAGATGGTTTTGAGATTTTTTTCGATAATTCTCAAAAACAATCCCATAATATTTTCTCAAAAATATTCCCAAAACAGGCCAAAATAGGGTATATTTTGACCGATATTAGGTACAGAGATAGATGTTCGTTTTTTTATTTTATTTTTTCTATCGCTTCTTCTTTTGTTATATCTTTCTTACAAACCCGACCATGCTACCATCACTAACACGGTTGCACCCAGACAATCTATTGCATTTAGGTACCCTAACTTATGATACAGAGGAAGTATACGATGACGCTTACACAGCGTGTAGCAAGCACACAAGCGACAGAAGTCCGGAAACAGCCCTAGGAGAAGCGGACAACATGCGTTCACTAGCGTCATGACTTCTAGCCCCGGCATTTGCTGGACACAACAGCGTGGCTACGGCAATGGCGGCAGGATTAGGGTGCGGAAAAACCACTTCGGATGGTACTGAACTCGGAGTGTTTGGAGCAAAGCCGGAGATTTGTCAATATCCGACTAAAGTGGTAATTTTCCAGAAGCCGACTTTGGTTGTCCCTCCATAACTTTTCATGTAGAGCACCGTTTGAAAAAAAAAACATCGTAAAGACGCCTGCGGAGGCGCCCACGAGACTAGCGGTATAGCGTGGTGAAAACCGAAAAGGAAAAAAAGTTGACCTGCCCTTTGCTCACGTAAAAAAAGTGCAAAAAAGGCGTAGAAAGCTCGGATCGACCTCAAACCAAGTTCGTTGTAATCCTACTGGACACAGCTTTCACGGAATGTATTTTGAGTCCACAACGGAGCCGGGGCCGAGGAGATAGAGCCTAAAAAAGGGGCTCCGTGGCTTCGGTAAATCCACGTCCTCCNTATTTGGGACAACACGTCTAACTCGGCGTAGAAAGCTCGGATCGACCTCAAACCAAGTTTGTTGTAATCCTACTGGACACAGCTTTCACGGAATGTATTTTGAGTCCACAACGGAGCCGGGGCCGAGGAGATAGAGCCTAAAAAAGGGGCTCCGTGGCTTCGGTAAATCCACGTCCTCCAGAACTCGGCCCAACCACTCCGAAACACCCCTAAAGACCTTTGTTGTGCTTGTATGATCCACAGCTATCATCCAAGCCATCGGGTGGCCTTATCCGACCTGTACATGCGGAGATATGCCCTCCCAAGGGGCACCGCAGGATTATTGGGAGGTGTCCTGTACGTATCCGCGTCGTTACATCGATGCCCACGCCCCGCCAAGATGGGAAATGGCCTGAAATGAAGTAGACCGGCTCCCAGCTTTCATTCAAGCACTTACATAGCCTCGACCGACATGTGGTTGCCGAGATACATACACCCTCGCAACGGGGCACGGCCACCCCAACAGGGGTTGTCCCAAATTCCAAATTTGGGACAACACCCCACATCGTCTCCCAAGCGTCTCGCCGGCANGACCCCAACAGGGGTTGTCCCAAAGTTGCAAATTTGGGACAACACCCGACATCGTCTCCCAAACGTCTTGTCGGCAGCCGCAACAACTACCGCAGTCACGCCACGGCTCCCAGCTTTCATTCAAGCCATCACATCACCTCAACCGGGATGTGGATGCCGACCCTATCGCGGCGCTCAACAATGGTACCGAAAATGTGGTGTCCAAAATGCTCGGAAAATCCCTGGCGATGATCGCTCACACGACCTACTACGAAGAAGGCGCTAAACAACCAGCACTGTCATCTTGTACTGGAGTCACGCACCCCTCAACTAGGATAGAGGCAATGACGTCAATTGAATGACGTTGCCTGAAGCAACCCGGGGATCCTCCGGGGGGTCGCAAGCAGGGGCACCGTAAAATTAATCGGCGAGAATCGGCGACCTCAAGCCATGATTCGGCGGAGCCCCCTCCAAAAACGGCGCTACTCAAAGGGGAGGGCAAAATGAGCCACTACTACTGTGCATCACTTTGGGGCATTGGGGCATTTTGGGGCATGCCCCAACGTTGGGGCAAGAAAAAAAAAACACCGCACCAAATCGCTCAATTTCAGCGAAATCTCGCCGTAATACCACAGGGACAGGAAATAACCAACGGCAGCTGTGTGATGTATTCCAGTATGTGTAGCTTGTGGGCGTTAAATATATTGTTGTTGTTGTTGTTGTTTCTCACATTAGCTCTATAGTCCACAAAAA